AAGGCAGGTGGATTGCCTGAGATCAGGAGTCTGAGACCGGTCTGAGCAAGACCGCGACCCCATCTCTACTAAAAACAGAAAATCAAGCCAGGTGTTGTGGCGGGCGCCTGTAATCCCAGCTACTCGGGAGGCTGAGGCAAGACAATCGTTTGAGCCCAGGAGTTTGAGGTTGCGGTGAGTATGAAGATGCCATGGCACTCTACCAAGGGCAACCAAGTGAGATTGCCTAAAAAACCCCAATAATATCTACTTCTTTAACACCATTGACTGATCTTCACAGGTCCACAGACTTGATTACATTTAGATCCAGGTAGATTAAAAAAAAGATGTAGGTGTATGCCTTTATCATTCTGTTAAGGTAATTAATGAAATGAAAAGGATGGTTTTGGTAGGTGATGCCACCCACTAGAACCAGCGCAGCCTGCATATCACTAGGGCTAAAATAGAAGGTCCGCCATGAGGACTGCAGGCTGTCATCAAGGCCGAGGGTCCAGCCTCATTCAGACAGGACAGACACAGAAGGAGCAGCATCTGCCTCCCGTGGCTCAGAGTGCTATTGGGGGAGGGGGGGCCAGGTGGGCCACAATCTGAGAACGAGCATGAGTTTGCTAAGGTGGGACTGAGACCACCATAAAAGGACTGAGGAAATTGCCAAGAAGGACTTTTTTTCGCCACAGGCTCTGGGGACAATCAGAAGAATAAAAATTGAAGGGGAGGTGCGAAGTGCTGATAGACAAACTGCCACATGTCTGCCACCTAGCGCTGAGCACGGGAGGACGACAGTGGAGTGGGCAGGGAGAAGGTGCGGGGAAAACAGCCTTCAAGGGTAAAGAAGAGACCCAAGGGGCAGGTGAGAACCAGACAAGTGCAGGGGAGATCACAGAGCAAAGGGAGGAGGGAGCAGAGGGTGACGAAACACAAGCTGGCGGGAAATGAAAGGCGACTGTTCCAAGGAGATAAGAGAAATGATAAGGATGCTGCTGAGTATACAGGGGCAGGAGGTCAGGGAAGGAGTGGTGGAGTCTTTAAGAGCTACGTGTTAGGGGAATTCACTAACAGAAGTAGTAAACGTAGCTAAAAAATTAAATGAGTTCGTTGCTGTGGTGCTCACAAAGGAAGATGAGAGGCAGATGCCGCTGCAGACGCGCACGTCCCCGAGGAGAGGGGCGGATGCCGCAGGAAAGCAGACGCGTGCCAAAGCAGGTGATCAAGAAATCTGAACCTCCCCAGACTGCCAAGGCCACTGTCGCCTGAGAGCCAGACGGGATCGGAGGGGAGTGGGGACAATTAGCATGCAGCACACAGATGCTGAGCCCTCGGATGCTGGAAAGCTGGCTGCCTGGAGCAACACAGATGCGTGCCTATAGCAGGCAGGAAATCCCAGTCTGTCCCAGTCACGCCTGCTTTCATGTCCTGCATGGATCCACCCTTTGCTGTTCCAACAGCAGCTGGGGCGCATGGAGGTCGGGTGGTCTCATCAACTTGATGGTCCCCGAAACTACTTAAGGCCACTCTAAACAGCCAGCAGCTCTGGCCACTTTCACAGAGGCTGGGCCTCTTACCCCTTCTCCTCCCAAATGCACTTCCACTCACAGGAGCCCTCCCCGCTGCACTCCCCACCACCTTGCTCTGCCTACCCTCTCTAGACGGGGCAGCACCTATAGGAAACAGGTCCACCTGGGGACTGTGGCTTATTCACTACATTTCTCTTCATTTTATGCACATAGACAGTATTGCCTTGCCATGCTAAAAACCAATCCATCTGTACTTCTTAAAATTAGTACAAAATCTTTGGGTTCAGAAACATTCAGAGGCTAAAGGGGTGAAGCCCCAACCCCTAGTGGAATGGCTTTAAGAAGTGGGGTCTTTGGGAGGTGAATAGGTTTATTTTTCCATTTTTCTTTTTTTAAGTGATTTAGACGAGGTCATGACGACGGAGTCCCAGGATGGGGTTAGTGTCATTATAAGAATAGGAAGAGACTAAGCTCTCAGTGTCTGTCCATCTGTCTGTCTGTCTCTGGATCACCCACCACAGAAGGAAAAGAACTAGCCCCTGCTAGCATCCTCAGCTTGGACTTCCAGCCAGAACGTTGCTGGTCTAGCCACCAGACTGACTGAGACAGCCGCTGATGTCACCTGGCAAACAAGTAGAGACAGATAAAACCATGAATCCCCTGGCCTCAGGGTTACCCTCCACAGTGAGAGAGAGGTGCCCTGACTTCACAATCCTGGCTGCCAGGGGACCACAGATCAGGGGTGTCCCAACTGTCACCGTAGCCTCCTTTCCCAGTGGTGGGTGCCTCACTGTTCTCCTCCAGAGCTCATTCCTAGGAGTTCCAACCACCAATCCCAGTCGCCCTCTGTCCCCCATGCAGCTCCATCCCTCACACCTCTGAACTCCACCTACGCACATTTCTGCTATTCTCCGGATGGGTGATTACTACCTCGAATAATGCCCTAGTACCCAGCACACTGCAGGGAAGAACATCTCACTGAGGGCTTGCTACATTCTTGATGCCCAGTGATATATATTCAGCTTTCTCATGCCTTCTGTGTGCTCGGACAATGATGTCCTGTTCAGTATTTATTTTATAGCCTAAGATGTTTGGGATCAAATACGTATTAAAATGAAGATTTAAGCTTACTTTTGTTATATCATGAGAAAAAAAAAGTCCATAAAAAAGGACTTTTATGACCTGATGTTTAGAATTTTTTTTTTTTTTTTTGCAGTTTTTGGCCGGGGACAGGTTTGAACCCACCACCTCCGGTATATGGGGCCGGCACTATACTTCTTGAGCCACAGGCACCACCCATAGAATTCTTTTTGAGACAGAGCCTCAAGCTGTCCCCTTGGGTAGAGTGCTGTGACATCACAGCTCACAGCAACCTCCAACTCCTGGGCTCAAGCGAGTCTCCTGCCTCCG